TCACTGTGACAAAATACCTGGCCAAATCAACTTAAAATAGGGGAAAAAAATGTTTTGACAAACTTAAAAATTGGAAATTGGATGTGGTTTAAAAATTGGAAATAACTGATTTCAGTTCCTTGGTCACTCAGCTCTGTTGTTTCTGGGCGTGTGGTGAGGTAGAACATTATGGCAGGTGCAAGGTGGAAAAAATCTCACCTTGTGGCCAGAAAACAGAGAGAGTGAGAGGAAGGGGCTGGGATAAGATATACCCTGTCAGAGCACACATTCCCCATAATCTACTTCTTCCAACTAAGTCTCATTTCTCCTATTAGCCTGTTAAGCTATGAATCCATCAATAAATGAATCCATTTATGAAGTCAGAGCCCTCTGCTGAATTGGGGACCACTTAAGATCCAAACCATAACACCTGTAACCTAACATACACAGTTTCAAGAAATAAGATGTGAACATCTCTCAGAGGCCATTATGCTCTCTCCCACAGCACGCAACTGTCACACCAGTAAGACTTTGTTTACCCAAGTCTTACACAAATTCTTCAACAACCAGATGGACCCAGTGTCCCAGCCTTGTGCAGGGTAGAAGGGCAGTTTTCTGTAATCATGTAACATGATGCAGAAAATTTTAATGCTTCTCCAAGAAGTCATAAAATTTTAAAACAATGATACATCATGTTTCATATAAAATTGACAAACATTTAAAACACTTTAGATGAAATAACCTACTCAGTCTGACGAGGAGGCTTGAGGTGTACATTCTGAAGCTCAGCTGGTGGAGTCATCCTGACGGGCTGCTTTCCTACAAAACCATTATAGTGTGTATTAAGGGACTTAAAAGAGTTCACACTCTTGCAGTTCTAGGAAATTAACCTAAGAAAACAATCAGAAATCCCTAATAGTCTAATAATTAAAGACATTGACAACAATGCCATCTAAAAATTGGAAATAACTTAAATGTCCAACCACAAATAATCAAATTGATTATAACATATTAATACAATGAAATCTTAAATAGACATTAAAACACACACACACACACACACACACATTTTGGGCTGGGGATTTAGCTCAGTGGTAGAGTGACTTCCTGGGATTCCTGGGGCCCTGAATTGGATCCCCAACACCACAAAAACAAACAAACAAATACCCCCATCTTTTTCAAGAACATTTAACAACATGGGAAAATACTCACAATAGAATATTAAGTAAGAGAAACCTGTCAGAAAACTGCTTTTACAAAACAATCTCATTTTGCCAGACGATGTGGCACAGGCCTGTAATTCCAGTTAACAGGGAGGCCAAGCAGGAGGATCACAAGTTCAAGCTCAGCCTGGCCAAGTTAGCAAGACCCTGTCTCAAAAAGAATAAAAAATTGCAATTAAAAAAGGACTGGAGGTGTAGTTCAGTGGTGAGAGTGCTTGCCCAGCAAGCGTGAGGCCTAGAGTTCAATCCCCAGATTTATGTATTTACATATGCATATGTACATGGAACACAGGGTGCTGAATGAATGCTTATCAGTTGTCTCAGAATTTTATCTGAAGCCTGTGGATGATAAATACTCTCACATTTAAAGAGAGGGGCTAGACCTATCTAGGGAGGACTTACTAAGACAGTGTAAAGCTTCTTAGACCCTGCCCCTCCACGCCCCATTAAGACATGATAAGCAGAAAACCAGAAGTCAGAGAGTCATTGAGATAGTGAGTTGGTCATGGAGAAGAGGCCTCTTCCTCCTCTCTGAAGGAATGGAGAGGATGCTCCCACATGCACACAGAACCAGTGAGGGGTACTCCAAGAGAATCCCTCCTGGATATGGTGGGCTTCAAGAGGAAGGAGGCTGCCTGGTTCAAGGCCTGCTGCCCTACAGAGAGCCATGCTTTAAGTAGGGCACCGTGAATGAGTCCTTAGGTGAACTCTAGACATGAACCCAGAGGTTACGGTCATGGGTGAACCCATGAGCAACTGGGGCCTACTTTGTACCTGGAAAATTGGGAGAACAGAAGCCTACAGGGGCAACCACCACCATTATCTAATTTTAGGATCTTTTCATCACCTAAAAGGAGAGCCCCTGCTTATTAGTCCTCTTACCCCCAAGCCCTGGCAACCACTAACCTGCTTTCTCTTTCTGGATTTGCCTCTTCTGGATATTTCACATAATGGAATGATATAATATGTAGCCTTTTATGTCTGGCTGCTTTCAGTTAGTATGTTTACAAGGTCTATCCATTTGGTAGAGTGTGTTGGAACTTTACTCCTTTTCATGACTGAATAATATTCCATTGTGTGGAGGAACCCCATATTGTATATCTAGTAATCAGATGATGACATCTGGATTGTTTCTACCTTTGGGCTATTGTGAACAGTGCTGCTCTGAACATCGTATACTTGTTTTTATTTGAACACCTCTTTTCAATTCTTTTGTGTATCTACCCAGGAGTGGAATTGTTGGGCCATTTGATAATTACTGAAAACCCTTCAGTGGTTTTTGGATGTTGTATCATGCGGATGTATCACCTAACCAAAAATTGGTAATTTTAACAAAAATAATTAACTTAAGAGAAAAACACACTGTTTTGTGATCATGGTTCGGCAGCCCTGCAAAGTCAACATTAGATCAATAAATGACTTTACAGGACCTAAAAGAAACTGAGGTGTAGGAAGTAAATGAGAGAATCCAATTTTAAAATATGACTCATAGAACCAGTAGGTCTTCAGGCTACAAATGCTCCCCATCATTAAGTGTTCCAGCAGCAATGCCCTGGTGAGCGTGGGAAGGGCTGTGAGAATGTTTTCTAGATCCATGTTTTCAAAAAAGAGAAAGCGGTAATTAAAGTTGGCTTTAACATGCAGATTATGTTGACATGGTCTGATAGTTACAGGGCCTCTCCCCAGAGCCCCCGGCTCCTGCAGTACCTCTGATGTCCTCCAGGGGGCGAGGCCAGGCAAGACTGGCGTCCCCATTGGAGCTCTGTGCTGGTGACCAGGGAGAACTGGGCCAGCAGAGCCTTTACAAAGACAAGAGGAGGAAACACTGTGACAAAGAATCCAATGCTGGGAGGACACTTGGGAAACATATTTCTCAAGCACTTTATTTTTATAAACAAGGAGACTCAGACCCAAAGTAGCTACTGCTGATTACAAAGGCAGTGGGCAGGAAGTCTGGAACCCTCTGCTGTGTTGCAATGTGCAATGGGAGCAGAGAGGCTTCCCATGGCTGATGGAGCTGAGTTTGGAGCCCTCCTCCCTCTCTCTCTGCCCCAACCCTCCCCATTCTCACTATTTACTTAAAGGTGTGACCCCAGGTCAGTAACTTAACATTTCTTTTTTTGTTTTATTTTTTGATACCAGGGATTGAACCCAGGGTGCTAAATCACTGAGCCACATCTCCAGCCCTTTTTAGTTTTTATTCTGAGACTGGGTCTCGCTAAATTACCTAAGACCTGGCTTAGTTGCTGAGGCTGACTGTGAACATGCAATCTGCCTGCCTCAGCCTCCCAAGCTGCTGGGATTACAGGTGTACGCCACCACACCTGGTAGTTACTTAACATTTCTGATCCCTTTTTTTTTTTTTCTGATCCCATATCTCTTTAGTGGTCTAATAACATGTTTGTAAGGCTAAGGGGAGGAAGAAATATCATGTACATAGGACATTTATGCTTGCTACCTAGTAGATTCTTAGTAAACATTTGTTGTGTGAATGAATATTCCTTCCTCTGACTCTTGAGGCAGTTCTTGTGCTGACCAAATAAATCTTTACTGAACACATTTTGGGCAACATCTTTGTGAGTTTTCTCCTATCTAGAAGTTGACCCTAGCCAGGGAAAGAAATGGGAGTTTGGGGTGTTAGTGCCATTCTATTGGAGTGAAAAAGTCCCTTTGTGAAGCCTGCATAGCACAGTGACAGCTCTGCTACCCACACTGGGAAGTCTGGGTGTCTGGCAGCAGGAGGTTCTCAGAGCTGCCAGAATGTCCCAGTCCTGGCAGCAACTTCATGGAGTCTCTGGATTATGGATCCAGAGGTCTTCTGAGGCCAGCCCTTTGATATAGCTCTTGCTTCCTCTCCTTTACCATTCTGCTAGAGGCCAACTTGGCTGTTTCTAGTACAGTCAATCTTCCATATTCATAGACTCTACATCCATAAATTCAACCAATTATGTTTGGAAAAATTTTTTTCTTAATTGTGTATGAGACAACCTGTAAAAGGCACAACTCTAGGGACAGAGCACACATATGTGGTTTCCAGGCCTGGTGCAGGGAGGGCAAGACTACAAAAGGGAAGTACGGTGGGGATTCTTTGGAGTGATAGAAATGTTCTGTGTGTTGACTGTGGTAGCCATATGACTGTATACATTTTTCAAACTCAGAAACATACAAGAAAGGGAGTGGATTTTTATTGTGTGTAAAGTATGATACAATAAATCTGACTCAAGAAAAGAAAGGAGGGAGAGAAGGAAAAAGGAGAAGAGACAGAAATTGGGGAAGAGAAAGAGAATGAATAAAATCACCCAGTGCAGGGGTGGCAAATGGCCAATATGCTAAATCTTTTAAAATTATTACAGTCTCAAATACAGTCAGACAAGTAGATAGGCCAGATGGACGAGTACATAATTTGAACTGGCTCAGCATTAGTCTCCAGTTTAGGATGGGAGTTGCAGGCAGGGGAAAAAAAAAAGTACAGACTTTCTTCTTGTCATTATTTCCTAAACAATACAGTATAATAATTATTTACATAACATTTATATTGTATTAGGTATTATAAAAAATCTAGAGATGATTTAAAGTGCGCAAGAAGGTGTGTGTGCATAGATTATATGCAAATACTATGTTATTTTATACATGGGCCTTGACCATCTGTGGATTTTGGTATTTTGAAGGTTTTTGCACCATTCTTGGTCTGATTTCTCTAGTACTTAGAACTGTACTTGGTACAGAGTAAGTGTTCAGTTAGGGATCTCATGACAGTGAGAGAGTCTCCCCTTGTGAGTTTCACTAATCCTTTCTATTTCCCCTTCTTTAGCCTTTTCGTTGATTGTACCTGTGCCAGCCTTCTTTCTTCTGATCTTTTGGAACTCATGTGAGTTATCATTAGTTTTCACACTGTTTGCTCCTTTTTCTGGACAGGTGCCAGATGCTACCTCACAGGGATGGCTCATTGCACACAAAGAGGCACAAAGATCCTGAGGAGAGGAAAAAACAAATGCCTGCCTACCTGGCCAGCACTCAAAAAACAGGCCGATCAACCCAGAGCCCTCACACCTTGGACCTTCCCCAACTCCACCCAAAAGATCTAGCCAAGTGTGAGTCTGGATACCACTTACACAAGTCCTTCTTGCCCTGCCCCTCCCCCAGCCACAGGAATGAGAAGCTACAGGTCAGGCAAGAGGTGAGGTGAGGCTCTGATTTGACATTAGGACAAGTAGGGTTCACATTTCCTAGTTATGTCCAGATATATCCATATGATGATATCATAGCACAGGAAAATGTCTTCATGGGACTGTCATAGAAAGACAGGATAAAAACCCTGGCCTGGGGATGAGCAGACTTGGGTTTTCCTCCTGGCTTGGACTCTTTAGGTATCAGTTTTCTTATTTGTAAAAGGGCAGATTGAGCTAGATCATCTCCATGAATCACTCACTTGCCAAAGTCCTAGTCCAAGTTCCCATCTCCAGGGGAAAGGTGGCTACATGACATTCAAATCTTCCCATAGCAGCCACTCCTCCCTCAGTTTCAATTCCACAATAATGCCCCATCACAGAGACCTAATTTAGGACAGGCTGATGGGGATGGTGTGGAGAAGTAGATCAACTTATTTTAGGGAGCCCAGCTCTGAGGAAAGTTGGTGGTCTACCCAATTTCTCAGGAAACTGAAAATATCCAAATGCCTATTTAATAAGTGCCCAGAGATCACAGCTTCCAAAAAGAACATCATTCTGCATACCAGCTATATGCCGGCCTTCTTCACCCCACATTCCATTCCCCTGCCTCTTCCCAGAATGGTTGCTCCTGGAAACCAAGGTATGGGCAGAAGGCTGTTTGGCACAGAGTGTATCTTGATGAGAGGAGGAGCTCCCTGACCTCTAGAATCCTGGCCTCTGTACCCTTCACCCCCACTGCTAGTGGCCAAGTTCCAGTGAAAATGCCTCTTCTCCATATTCCAAGCAAGCTCACAGGGCCTCAGGCTTACAGTACAGTGTGGCCATGGCTTTGGTGAGGGTCTCTAGTAGGTGCTAATCTTCAGCTTGCAGAGACTAATGGGCCTGATTGCCTAGGTAGGATCTGACCTCTTTAGTTGAGAAAGGAGTAGCCCCCACCTCCTCCAGGGCCTGGGGTTGCCAGTATGGTTCTCACCGACTTTCTTTAGAATCTTTTCTATCTTTACTACTAGGTTGCATGAAAGTCATCTTTGTCTTTTTCTTTTGCAGTGCTAGGGATTAAACTTAGGATCTCATGCATGGTAGGCAAGTGCTCTATCACAGAACTATATCCTCAGGCCCATTTTTGTCTTTCAAAGTTAATATTCTGGCGTCCTTATCCCCAGATACCAACTCCAGGGGGTCTAGGGAAAAAGATGGAAAAACTCCAAAAGTATGTAGTATGAAGTTGGAGACACAAGTTTGCCAGGGAACTACTATATGACTGGAAAGTGTTACATTACACATTCTGCATGCTATTCATTTGTCAACATGCCATGGGGGAGGCGTTATTATAAACTTCTATTTGTAAGTTTTGACCTAAGAGGTTCAGAGAGGATAATTCACTTGTCCAAGGTCACATAGTTATTAATAGGCAGAGGGGCTCTTAAACTCAGTTCTGTCCATCAAGTTGCTGTATTCAAGTGCCAAACTTTTGCTGAGAACTTACTCTAGTTGCAAAACCCTGGGGCCAACACAATAGCATGTATGCTCATGGAAAAGGAATGGATAGCTCTATATTCTAATTTGGGGGTGATGTGAACACGAAGACTATTCCAAAGCAGACTGAAAGAAGTACCCAAAGGTATAGTCATATGTCACTTAATGATGAGGACATTCTGAGAAATAATGAATCATCAGGTGATTTCATTCCTGTGTGAACATCCAAGAGTGGACTCACACAAACCTGGATGGTATAGCCTACCACACACCTAGATTTATGGTATAGCCTGTTGCTCCTAGGACCAAAACAACTCCTAGGATGAACAAAACAACTTCTAGGGTGAACAAAACAACTCCTAGGATGAACAAAACAACATGAGATTAAATCAAGCAAAAGAGAAAATGATGCAATCAAGAGATGTGGTAAACACGAGATGTATGAGGCTGCTTCCAGCGAAACACAGCACACTGCTTTATAGTAGATTTTTTTTTAAAAGTAGAAATCACTCTAAAATATCAGTAAAAAGCATGATATAGTAAACACAAAAGCCAGCAACACAACCAGTTGTCACCATCAAATATATGCATTGTACATAATTTTATGTTTCATACATTTATGTGATTGGCATAAATGTATATCAGAATACTGAGTTGCGCTTGGATCTTTTTTTAAAATGATATATCAGAGTGATTGGGAAATATCTTTGTTTATTTTTATGTGGTGCTGAGGATCAAACCTAGTATCCCACAAGTGCGAGGCAAGCACTCTACCACTGAGCCACATCCCTAGCCCATACTTGGATCTTTAAAAAAAAAATTTTTTTTGTAGTTGTAAATGGACAGAATGCCTTTGTTTATTTTCATGTGGGGCTGAGGATCCAACCCAGTGCCTCACACATGCTAGGCAAGCGCTCTACCACTGAGCCACAGCCCCAACCCTGCACTTGTATCTTATGATAGCTCTGTAGCACTAGGCAATGGGATTTGTTCAGCTCCATTATCATCTTATGGGACTTATCTGTGGCCTGTCACCGATTGAAACATTATTATGTTGCACATGACTGTATAAGCAGAGCCTCAAGGGAATGTGATTGAAACTGGGAGATAATCCAAAGAGAGAGAGAGAGGAGGAGAGAAAGGAGAAGGGGCAAGGGGAGAAGGGAGAGAGGGAGGGGAGGGAAGAGAAGCGAGGAGGGGAGAAGAGGAGGAAGGAGGGAAAGAGAGAATATGAGTGAGATGAGTGTAGGGAAGGATTTCTCTAGGAGATGAGCTTTGTGCTGGGCCTTGGTAGATGGGAGAATTTCCCAGGTTTTAGTGGAAATGGCAGAGGAAACAGCTTGAGCCAGAAGCCAGAGTAAGAGAGTCAGGATCTTGTAGCAACCAGTGTGGAGATAAGTGTGGAGATAAGCCAGGCTAGCAGGTTGGTCAGGATCAAGTATGGGGTTGTAGGGAAGGACCTGGCTTTCTTCTGGGAGCAGTGGGGAGCTGCTTAAAGCTTCCGGTAGAGCACAGGCAGAAAGAGATAGGCAAGTTTGTATGAAAATCTGCAGTAGGAGGCAGGGGTGAGGACTTGATGTACTTTCTCCCTTCTCTGGCCATAGCTTAGGGGCAGCGCCAAGAAGAGGGTGGATCCTAGTGCTGGGAGCTCCCTATGTGCACACAGGCCCCAGGGCCTCAGTGAGGGTGTCTGAGGAGGGTGTGGCCTGATGGGAAGTCTACAGAAAACACAGAGAGTTCTGAGGTAGAAGGGGTGATGGGTGATGGGTATGGAGAGGGGAAATGGGACACAATGAGGAAGAGTCTTTTTAGCTCAGGGAAAGAAAACAAATGTTTTCACCCTTTACAAATTTGGGCTCAATTTTTTTTTTAATTATAGATGGACACATACCTTTATTTTATTTACTTATTCTTATGTGGTGCTGAGGATCTACCCCAGTACCTCACACATGCTAGGCAAGCTCTCCACCACTGAGCCACAAACCCAGCCCCTCAGGCTCATTTCTAACCTTGAAACTCTTTTTTAGGGAAATGAAAATGATTTTTTTCTTTTTCCATGTACAGTCAAAACTCAATAAAATTGAGAACCAATTGCCTGGAACATTCAATTCACTGGAATTTTTTAAAAATTAATTTGGTTATGAAAAAAACAGTTGTGTCTTTATAGACAAGTTAACATCAGGATGTCAAACACTTAAAGACCTACTATGGATAACTGTAGAATCAATGATGTGCATAGAAGTGACTCAGGACCCATTTGAGAGGCGTTGGTGAAGCAACTCTGCCTAAAAGTTTGCTCCACCCTATTAAGCATTTTCAGAAGTCCTAAGTCCTGAAGAATTCCTGGTGTCCTCTCCAATATATAATTCAGAATTCTAAAAATAGTTAAACTACAGGGTAAAGCAGAAAAGTTACATGTATGCTACAATTCAATTGCATTCTCTGATTGCAAAATTCTTATTTAACTTCATTAGAACGGAATCTCAATTGCTAGCACTCACTCTCCCCCTTGCCCTCACCCTCTCTCCCTCCCTCCCTGACCCTCCCTAACCAGCATTGTTCTTACTATCCTGTCACCATATCCAAAAGCCCACCACTAGAAAAGATATTTCTTTGGACCTTGAGAATGCTTGCATTTTAAAGAATTCCCTAATGAAAAAGAGAGGATGCTACTATTTCAAGAAGAGGTAGAGAGCCTGCCTGGCTATGAGACCCTAAGCAAGTTCCTTGTTATATCTCTGGAATTTAGTTTCTTCATATGTCAAGTATAGAAAAGGAAAATAACAGTATCTCCCTTGTTTGGTTGTCCTGAGGATGAGGTAGTCAATACACAGACAGAAAACCTTATGAAAAATGCCTGGCACACAGTGGGTCTCTGTAAGCGTAACTATGTTATCACATTTCACCTTCATCATAATGTAATGGATGATCATTAACCTCCTTGTAGTTAGGTAGCATGAGGCTCAGAGAAGGTAGGTAACTTGCTTTTAGACACAGGGCTAGTAAGTAGCAAAATTAGCTGGGAGTCAAACTCAAGTTGGTTTAACTCTAAAGACCTGCTCTCTCTTCCTCCCACTCAAGTACAAACTTCCCTGAATAGGGAATTACATTAGGCCTTCATCTTGTTCTAATTTAAAAAAATATTTTTTTGGACCCAAGAGTGCTCTACCACTGAGCTAAAGCCCCACCCATTCCTTTTTATTTTTTATTTTGATACAGGGTCTTGCTAAGTAGCTCAGAATGACCTGGGACTTCTGATCCTCCTGCCTCAGCCTCCCAAGTAGCCAGGATTACAGCAGTGTACCACTGAGTCCAGCTTAATATTTCTTTTTTGAAAACCAATGCTACAAAACCCAAAAGGAACAAAAGGGTGTGCAGTGAAAAGTCATTTCCCTCTTCCCTTCTGTTTTCCCACCCTGGCTCCCTCTGCAGAGCCAGCAGCTCTTAGGTTTTTTGTTATATTCTTCCAGGGCCAGCTTTACAGTAAGCTTTTCACAGCTTACACATTTATTTACCAGAGTAATGTAATTCCCTGAGTGCCTCATATGTGCCAGGCACTCTATCCTGGGGCTAACACTGCCTTCAGAGGGCTCACTGGCTTGAATCTGGAGGTTATTTATGGAGGGAACTTGCTGTACTGACTGTTGTGTTCTGTGCTTTCCCCATCTGCAGCACCTCTTCACCGGGTAGAGCCAACTTGCACATTCTGCAGACAGGAAAAGGCCAACCAAAGTGCATGGAAGAAAAGTTTTGTCTGCCTTGGCCTTGCACACAGCATCCAGCCAGCAAAAGAGCATGATGGTATCTGCAGCCAACAGGAGGACTCTGTGATGCTGGACTTGTGATGTAGCACCTCTGGGGCAAGTTTCATACTCTGTGAAACTCCTGACCCTCTCACTTCTCTAAGGACTCTCCTGACAGGGTTCGCAGGAAGTGCCATTTTCCATGAATCTTTGCAGCTTCTGGCCTCCATCTCCAGTCTGAAAACCCCAGTGCTCCACAGGGAACTGAGAATGGCCAAAAGGGTTCTGTTCCTTTCCTTACCTTTTTGCCATTGTTCTTTGGATGGTATAAAATGTCAAAATACTTTTTTTCCCCTGTTGCTGCTGCTGCCAGAAAATATTTATAACCATGACAGCCATAGCAGAGCTTTCTTAATTGCTTAATTATAAAATATGCTTATAACCTTTGGAGTGATTATACCAATGCATAATTATGGGCATTACCAACTTTAGAAAATTGTTCTGGTCAGAACACATGAATCCCCATTCTCTCTTTCCAAACAATAAATATTTGGGTAAAGGAAACAGAGCAAGAATGTCACTGTTTTGGAAGCAGTTCTTATTATTCCAGTTTCATAGATGTTCAGGAGAGGCCAGGATGCTGGCCTAATGTCACACAGCAGATCAATAGTAGAGATGGGACTATAGCCTGCTTGGCCCCCAAACCCTGCTTCTTTTCAGTTCATAAAGTACATCACTTAAGAGTTCAGACTATGAAAATGTATGTTCTAGATGTTTGTGAAATTTGTTTTCTGGATAAATAAGTATTCTGGATAGCTAAATTGTCACATGAAGGTTAAGAAAGAACAGGAGGCAGCAGAGTTGGGGTTCTCTATGCCTAGAATTCCTTTCTCCATCACAATTCTATATCTTAAAATGTGTTTGGAGGCTGGGGATGTAGCTCAGTCGGTAGAGTGCTTGCCTTCTGGGTTTAATCCCCAGCACCGCCCTCCCCCCCCAAAAAAAAATTGTTTGCCTTTTCCTCTCAGTGGACTGTAAGTTCCTCAAGAACAGTTCTGAGATCTGGTCAAGATGGGGTGTGTGTGCGTGGGGGGGGGGATTCATATCTTCATTCTCACCCCTGCTTGTTTGTTTCTGGCTAGGTTTGTACTGTGGTTTTAATTTGAATTTCCCAGATGACTAATGCAGCTGAATGCCTTACAGACGCTTAATAATTATTAGTTCCTTTCTTCTTCCTGTATCTTTGTCCCTTCATCTCTTCTCCTAGGACTTGGCAAAGTGTAACCCTGAGATGCCAGTGTCCTGAAGACCCAAATTTCTCTGTGTTGGCAGTTCTTTGTCATAAACCCTGTCTTTTCTGCCTATTTGCCAGCCTCATCTCTTAGCCTTCTGTCCCCTTGTACCCAACTCTCCAGCTGGATCAGCAGTCTCAGATATTCTCTGAGCCTTTGCAATTGTTCCCTCTGCCTGAGATACTATGCTCCCTTCTCTACCCTGATTTCACACTCTTTACCTGGGTATCAAGCAGGTCCCAAGCTATATGCCACTTCCTCCAGGAAGTCTTATTTGACACTTCCTCCACCCCAACACCCACTCACCAGACTGGGTTAGTTTTCTGTCCCTTGTTTGTGGCTAAGAAACATCCTGTACTTCCCCTCCTAGCACTTATCACACTGTTGCAATTGCCTATTTGCTGGTGTCTGTCTTGTACCTTTTTCTTCATCCCTTTGAGGATAAGGCTGTGTGTTGCTCATTTTTATATCACAAAGCTTAGAATATTAGTGATATCAGTTGAACAAATGACCTGGTCCAGATCCCTTTATTTTTTATTTATTTATTTATTTATTTTTTAGTTTGAGATGGATACAATAGCTTTTTTGTTTGTTTGTTTATTTAGTTTTTATGTGGTGCTGGGGATTGAACCCAGTGCCTCACACATGCTAAACGAGTGCTAAACCACTGAGCCACAACCCCAGCCCTCCATATCCCTTTAAAAGGACAAAAATCTAACTTTCTGTGCCAGCTATACTAGAACCAATGGTATTAGGCCTTCATCCTCGAACTCCCACATCAATTCTCCTACCTGCTAAGGTCTCAAGGAAACAGATGTTTATTGAAGGTCTATTGTATGCCAAGCACCAAGCAGGCCCTTTACATGGGATGTCATTTACACCATTGAAAGGCTTAAGGCCGAAATCTAGACAACATTTGGAAACTCAGAGGTGTGGATATACCAATCAGGCAATTAGCAATCAAGAGAAAATGAGTAAAACCACAGTGGTTTTCCTCTTGATAGTGGCAGAGGAATGTCTGTAGAGGAGGATTCCACATAGCTCTAAGCATTTACCAGTGACTAGCAAATGATAAGAGTGCAGACAGACCTGCTGATTAAATAAACGAAGAATTGAAGAGGCAACACAGAAAGGGCATAAGTGAAGCTTAGCAGACCCATATTTCCTTCTGGGCCTAGCCTAATATTTTCCTCTATGTGCTGATAAACCAAACTGGACATTGAAATATTTGAGTCATGGGTGGCTCTTCACAGTGCTATTCAAGGATGAACCTTGTGATTTCTTTAGATTCCATTGACAGGAACACCTTACTGCAAGGGAAGCTGAGAAAGTACTATTTGTGAACCCAAAAGGAAAAGAAAACAGATTTGGGGTGAATAGTTAGTGATCACTGCCGTAGCACAGAGAGATGGTCTTCCTTCTGTTAGTGTCACTAGGTAGCCATGAGCTATCACAGATTGTGGGTGCTCACTCATGTAAGAGTGATTATTAAGTTCAAACCTCAGATTTTGCAAATGGAAAGACTGGGGCCAGGGAAAGCAGTGACTCCTTCCCTGTTGGGGGATGTTTGGTGCTAGAGCCATTCTGTGGTGCTTAATCCATCAGTATTTTATCTGCAAAGAGGTCTTTAAACAGGAAAACCTCATCTTCACAAAAGAGGCTCTCAGAGATAAAGAGGAAAGCAAAGGTAATACAAATTAAGATGTTGATATAATTATTACAGTGGTAGTAAACATAATGAAGGCTCTTCTGTGTCCTGTGGTTCCTAAGACTCCTTCTCATCAGTAACTTCATATAATACTGCAAAATCATTTAGATGACCATGTACAGAAAGGATAAAAACTTTGCCTTCTCTGATAAATGAACAATTACTAGTTGTACAAATGTATGTAATTATTTAACCCTCTTTAAGCTTTAGTTCTCTCCATTTTAGTAAAATGGAGGTGGTATTATTTATCTTCCAGGGATTAAAGAATAAATGAAAATCTCTATCAACAAATATAATTGGTTTTAATATCTGCTGTTGCTTACTCAATACCAAGAACATGGATGAAAATAAAAACACCTCTCAAGTGAGACCAAAATGTGACCAGAAAATAACAGCACTCTGTGACAAACTGCAGGGACAGAAGGTGGAGGTGGTGGGGGGTGGTAGTGAGGGAAGACTTTGAAGTCAGCTTGGGTGAGTGATGGAGGATTGCCCTGAAAAGGCACTGTGTTTAATGAAGGAGGAGAAGGAGGTGTCTAGGTAGAAGGGGACCAGATGAGGAGGGCACAGAGTGGTGAGGAAGAACATTATGCATAATAGGAGAATGATTTTAGGTACTGCTAGAACAATTTTTTAAAAAACACACAAAAACTTTAGCAAAAGGGAGGTGACAGGTAGGGGACCCAGTGAAGAATTTTGATCAGGGAGGTAATGTGAAAGGGGTGGATGGAAAGAAGTGAGAAGAATGACATCACCAATATTCTTGGGTAAGAAAGTGAGGGTACATCTGCTGAAACCCATGCCCATCATCACCCCTTTTTTGGGGGATGGGTGAGTGGGTTTGCTGTCTGAGGATTGAACCCAGAGCCTTGAGGATGTGGATTCTGAGCTGTTTCCCCTGTTCCCCTTTTATTTAGTCATTCAACAAATAGTTACTGAGGGCCTGGCATATATCAAGCTGTATTCCAGGAGTTGGCAATCAGGCTTCGAACAAGACTGGCAAGGTCTCCAATCTCATGAGGAGATGGATAATAGATAAATAAGTAAACAAGCAAGAAAATATCAGATTAGTGCTGCTAGGAAAATGAAACCTGGTGATAGAAGAGTTTTTGAGCTGATGCTCCTCCACCCCCAACACCTTTCAATGCTTTGAAGCCTCCTCTTGATCTAACTTTGGTTTTCCAAGGAGGCTTTGCTCTTAGAAAAATCTCTATAGTAAATATTTAAGCCAGCTCTCTGGGTGTTTCTAATCAGTCTTACCTGAACAGGGATAGTCAGAGCTACTTTTTCACAGGGTCTAGTCAGCTTTATAATTCTTGAAGACCACAGATTCTACCATAAGTCACAAATCTAAATTTTTGGAAGATTGCAGCAATCTTGAGCTTTTTCCTGATCACAGTTCTTATGCAATTGGGAACATCCCCTTCTTTCACTTCTTCCCACTTCAATGTATATACACATTCTTTATATGAGAATCATTTGATAGTACTGTTGGAATTGCACATTCCTCCCCTGTGCAAAAAAATGCACACTTTTAAAATAGGCCCACTGCTTCTGGCAGGTGTTTGGGCGGGTAGCCCTGGCAGATGTCCAGGGGGCTGGGTAGGGTATGGGGTGGTGGAAACAGCGGTGCAAAGCAATGGAGCTGGAAGCTCCCTCCTCACTATCCGGGCATGCTGGTATGTAAGTCGGAGCTCTTGGGTGCCAAAGGGACGCAAGCCAAAAACAAAAAAGCGAACGTTGTATTAAATGCAGCTGCAGAATCCATGGATGAAAAGGCAGATTTCCCAGGGTGCCCCATGGCCTTCCTCCGTTTAACACATTTACTCACTGAGGGGTTCCCGCCCCCCTTCAAATTTTTCTTACTGTGAAAACTTTCAAAGACACAGGAAAGTTCCTGTTTTAGGGCAGGCTACCAGAAGCCCCAGGAAACCTTCTCTGATTCCATTGGACTTCTTTGGACTGCCTGAGTTTAACCTTTAGGGGACGACCAAAATCAAGGATGGCTAAAATAGGGCCTCTGTTCCACAGAATTTTTATTCTGGTTATGGAGAGATGACAATAATACTATAATATATAATATTAATATATCTGTTTTAGCAGTTTATACCTCACAAGATGCTTTAACATGTCTGATCCTTTTAAAATCACAAACTCAGAATTGAAATGTACAGATTACTCTCAAGGTGGAAATACCTGATATATATATGGGCACTTCCTAAACTCCTTTCTTCCTAAATATTGCTAAAGCATCACTCACCCACTCTTCCATTCATTGAACCCTTATTTTTGGATACCTTCCATGTTCTACATACTATGTTAGAAATAAAGCAGGAAACCAGACAGACTTGTTTGCTACCCTTATGGACCTCCAAGGGGAAGACAGACATTAAACAAATAATTACATGCACGAAGAATGTTTTATAAAGGCAGTGTGGGGGCAGTCAAGGGCATCACACTCTGGGAGGTACCCTGGGGGTGGAGCAGGGTCAGAAAAGGCCTCCCTGGAGGAAATGATGTTTAAACTGAGGTTTAGGGGATTAGGAAACAGTTTCTGAGAGGGTGAAAAAAAGTAACATTACATACCAGTATAAGACAACATGAGTCAGACTGTTCCATGGCCAAATGAGGGGCTATAGATACCAAATGGGGAACATGTCCTGAGAGAAACAGAAGATTGGTTGAGCCAAGCCTGAAAGATAAATAGGCTGGTAGGAGGAGATAGGTGGAAGAGCTTGAGCAAAGGTTAGATATTATTGTTTATGTTTATCCTGTGGGAAGCATCCCACAACTGCTGTTATAAACACAACTATATTTAATACCTACTACATGGTAGCAAATCTCGTGATTTAATTTCTTTTTCAGATAGGTATTATTTTTCCAGTTTTACAGATTAAGAAAAAGGTTGAGGGAGGGGTAAAGACTAAAAACACTCGCTAAGGTCGGCCACCAAATAATGGCAGAATTAAGATTTGAACACTTGCTTACCTGGCTTCCTATGCACTTTCCACAACTCCTCACTGCAATAACTTCAATAATATAATTTGGAAAAGGGCAAAGGAACTTTGAAGAAACAAAGTGCGGGGGAAAGGTCTCAAAGATGCTGCAGGTAGGTGGACACCATTAGCAGAGGACTGCTGGGGTTGAGGGAGTAGTGAGAAGTAACCAAGGGAGTGACCTTGGGCTGCTCCAAGATTGCACTTCGGGGAGGTGCCCCCACTCTAACCACTACCCGGCCCAGTTAATCATTTCCGGACCTTCCTTTTCCCCCCTCACTCTGCCCATTGAATTGCTACATCAGTCTTCCCCCTCCCTTTGCTTGCCTTCTGGCCTTGTGGCTCCTTTCACCGGTTTTCAAGGAGCCCAAACTTCTGAGGCAATATTTGTAACAGCCCTGGTGTCCTTAAGACTGTCCCTTGTTAAGTCGCAGGCTCCTCGGGCTCCGGTGTAAGGCGAATCCAAGCAGCCCCTAGGTTTGCCCTCCCATAAACTCTTTTCTAAAATAGGCCAGAGAGCAGAGGACCTAATCTCGGCACGGATTAGCAAATTAATAGACTCGACGTCCCCCGCGGTAAAAAGAGAATCGTAACATCAGTTGTAGGGTGTAACGAAGCTTAAATGAGGTATTTTGTATTGCAAACTGCCTGGCAGGGAAGTGGTTCAGCGTGTCTAACAATGTTAGATCCCTTCCCTTTTTATCATCTGGTAGCGGGACCTCGAAAACCAGGTTACATTTATTTCACTTAAATTTCCAGCGGTGAGATTTGTAAAGTTCAGGACGACGTGCTCGTGGTAACGCTGAAAGTTAATCACGGTGACAAGGTCTGAATCCAGGTTCGTAGGTGCCCCAATAGGCCCAGCCACTCATCTTCCAGCTACGGCTGTGTGCGCAGAACTCAGAACCGGCTCAGAACCACACCTGTCTCAAAGGAAGAATTAGATTGCTCTGGGACCCAAGCAGCCCACTGGCGCAAACACAGGACCAGGCTTAATCTCCCGGGCTTGTTTCTTGCTAGGTAAAATGGGAGGGTTACGGTGCCCGTCTGCCCGAGTGGTTTGTATTTTCTTTCTGTCCCTCTGTTGCGTGGCCAGATTTTTCTACCACTAAGCCGCGTTGTAGTCAGAGCAACACGCCATGCAATATCAGTCTCCTTCGCCGGACCTGGTAGACGCAGCGGACCGGACTTGTCTGCCGGGGCCCGGTAGCCCCCTTCCCTAAGTCAGGGAAGCCGCAGCCACCCAGGGGAGCGGAATTGGGAAAGTCACTTCCAAGCGCCGCAGGACCCGAAGCTATCAGATGCGGGTAGCGAGCGCGGAGACCCCAACCGCGGGAGTGCACAGGGGCGGAGCCGGCCTTGGAGGCGGGGCCTGCCCGGGAAGGCGGAAGCCTCGGGTCTAGAGGTGGCGACAGAACCCGGATCCCGGAATTCCACGTTCTTCGGAGCGGAGTGCTGAGAGAAGGCGGGCGGGAAAACCCGGCGCCCGGAAGCCCTTGCTTTCTTTGACGCAAGGGCTCGGGACGCAGCCGCTGTCTGCCTAGCGCCCGGCGAGGAGCGACCCCAGACGGAGCCTCCAGAGTCCCTCCGCCCCCGCCTCGTTCGGCCCCGGAGCCTCTGTCCTCCCTGCCACGGTCCTCGTGGCCATGGAGTGCCCGCACCTCAGTTCCAGCGTCTGCATCGCTCCGGACTCAGCCAAGTTCCCCAACGGCTCCCCGTCGTCCTGGTGCTGCAGCGGTGAGTGCGGCCCCGAGCCGGCCGGCCGCGCACCCGAGGCCCCGGCTCTGCCGGGCCTGCCGTCTAAGGGCCGCAGGCAGCCGGTGCGCGGACCTAGGGACGGGTGAGAGCGAGCCTGGCCCGACGCGCTGAGGAGGGGTACGCGGTGAAGCGGGCGCGGGTGGGAGCAGCGGCGGCTCCTTTGTTTCTCGCGGCCCGACGGTCCGGCCGGCGAAGGAAAGGCCGGCGAGGGGCGGGAGTCCGCGGGGGCCTCGAGCGTGTCGGGGCCGCGGCGGGCGGGGACCCTGGCCGGCGTTCGCGCCCCTTGCCCCGCCCTGAGGCGCTCGGGGGCTGTGCTCGCGGGTACTGCGGGGTCGGCAGTTGTGGGGGCGGTGGTTGTGGAGGCGGTGTCCGGCCCCCGCCGGGTTGCCGCACGTGTGGCGGAGCCCGACTTGGTTTCCTCAGTGGACCCGACAGGATAAAAAAAAAGCCACTCTCTTGACGCAGCTTTGTCTGGGCTGTGGGGCGCGCGGGGCCCTTCGCGGCCGCCTGCCTCGGCCGGGCTTTATTTCCCTTCCCCACAGGCTCAGGCAACCCGAAGCCTCGAGAGGCGTTCAGAAGCTCGGGCGACGAAGGTCGGAATCTTTCATCAGCCTGGGAGGGTGAAGTTTGAAAACAGGCTGTAGGCTCCAGAGCTCCAAAGCTCGACCCAACAGCTGCTTTTGGAGGGGTGGCTCGAGTTTGCCTAAGATTGTTTCAAGACACAATTTTGGGTTGTCTGGAATTGCGTTTGATTCTAGAGTTCGAGTTCTTGTAAAACAGTTACTAGGTTTATTTAATGCTTTTGAGTAGCTTAAGCTTCTAACTCCCTCTGCGGGCCCCTTTGGAACCCCTAGTGCCCTCTCATTGTCTGCTCTATCGACTTCTTAGGATCGCACCGGCCACCCTGCTTTGATTACTTCCTGGTAGGGCCCTAGTGCCGCCGCTAGTCTTTGTTTATTAGCTTTAAGATGATCACTATTAACCAGGGTTGTAGCGTTAACATTTGAATTGTACACTTCAGAAATCTCGAGTTTAAAGAAATATAGAAATAGAGATGGTATGATTTAGCTGTGTGACACTTCTCTTGGATTGGACTGGGAAGATAGGTTAGAGAATGCTTAACACTTTGGCAGGTTTCTTCTCCTTCGCAGATTGTTTCTTAAAGGATGATTATGTACTTGGGGGGAAAAAGAAAGCTACAAAGAAAAACATACTTTAGGTTAAGGAATAGAAATAACTGCAGTTTCTTGAAACTCTCGGACGTTTGATGCTTTGCTTGTGTTGTAAACTCTCGTCTTTTTCTACATGCAGGCTTTAAAAATTAACTAGTTAATTGATTTCACAGTGTAGTATTGTAGTTCTTTCCTGAGAATGCAGAAACTTGGATAAATTAACTCTTAACCTATACATATATCTTCAACAGTAAATGTTGAGTGTGGCACAAAAAAATAAGGTGTATCACATTGCTTTTCAAATTGATTGGTGGCACATTAGCTATAGCTCTGGAACTTAATTTTTTTCCAAAAGAGATTTGGAAAAGAAAATAAAATACTAGGAAAACATACCTTCCAAGGAATGGAGCAATTACTGTTGCTCAATACAAAATGGACAGCTAGCACACTTTTGACTTTTTCTAGGTAAAATCACATCAAACCTAAAAATGGCTTCACTGACACAATCATATATATATATATATATATATATATATATGACAAGAATTATGCTAGTGGCAAATATCCTGTTGTCAGTCAGTCTTGCCTCTATCAGGGAATCCAGTTAATTGTGGAATAGAGATGCAGGAGATCAAGGAACTCGGTAAGATAAAATGGAACAAAACAGAGAGACTTATTCTGATGGTAAGAATTAACTAGTATGTTAAAATTAAAGGATGAATGATTTCTGTCTAAGGGATAGAATGGCATTTTTGCATCTTGCAAGAAAATTTGCCTCCGACATTGCTTTGCAAAGGTGATTCTAGTCACTTGCTTGGATTTATAAACCAATTAAGCTAGTTTCTCAACCTCGTGTGGGTTTTGTCTTCTGTCCACATTGTGAATTGAACCCTTTCCATCTGTGCTTCCCATTTTAGCCTGTTGGCATTCATTTGTTGATATAATCTAGTGTTATTGTATTAAGCTTGATCTTGTTCTTGCCTGCCTGTTGTTTCAATGATTAAATGAATAGTAAATCTGGGAGTCCTTAACTGATCATCTTGGAGCGTTGTGTTCTGTTTTTTTTTTTTTTCCTCCAACACTCTTGAATTTTATTTATTTATTTTTTGGTAGAGGACCAAATGGGTAGTCAGTGTGTTGAATAATGCTGTGACTGGATATTGAGTCTGATTACATTCTTATTAAGGAGAGGAAAATCCCTATTTTGGCACCGGGACAATAAAAGTAATGCCCTTGCCTTGTTTTCTTTGGGAGCTTGCAATTATACCCGAGCGAGATAGCCAAGCAAATTGCAAAAGACCAACATCGTAGGCCCTACTAGCTAGCAATACATCCTTGGACAAGTAGTTCTGATTCCTTTGAGTATCAGTTTTGTTGTGTCATCTGTTAAAAAGAGAGGAAGTATTATTTTGCATTTACTTCACAGGTTGCTGTTTTTCACAAAAAAGTAATTTTTGTGAAAACATCCAGAAACTGTTCTACACTGTCCAGATAATAGGTGGAATTGCAGCTTAGAACATTTTTATAAAGAAGACCCTGAGTAATTAAATATCTAAAGCCCATTAAATGGAGCCCAGAACAGACTGGCTTTATGCTGAATTATGCTTTACAAGGAGATACAGAACTCAACAAGATTAGGGTGGTAAGTAGTAATTATATTTCAGAATTAACTTGAGCTTCTTATCCCTGGAAGGCACTGTGTGTTGTGTTATATAATTGTATACGACAGTGCTTCTTACATTTTTTGTTCTCAGGACCACTTAATGGTCTTAAAAAATTTTAAGACCCTAAAGGCCCATGTGTGGCTTATACCTATTGATATTGCTTTATTAGAAATTAAAGCAAAAATTTGTTTTGTTAATTTACTTATAAGTAACAATAGATTCAGTACCTGTTAATATAAATTACAGTTTATATAAAGTGTTTTTCAAAGCAAAAATTAGTAAAGAATGAAATTAATTTAAATTTTTGCAACTCCTTGTTTAGCTTAATAGAAGAGCTGATTGATTCTCATATCTGTTTCTGAATTATGTTTCTCAAATACTACAGTTCATATAGCCTCTGGAAAACTCCATCTCCTGAGAGAACGAGAGTAAACAATAAGAGTAATCTCTTATTAATTTTCATGCAAATAGTTTTAACCTTCTGGATCCCCTGAAAGGGTCTTGGAAACTCTTAGGAGTGCAGGACCAAACGTGAGGACTCACTGGTGTACAGGTTTTTAACAGTTAATGATACCTGTGCTTATTAAAATACCTTTAAAAATTAGAGAAATCCTTAAGGCTGGCAATATTTATGTAGAATCTTTAAATTTTTGAAACACATTAGCTGGGAAACATATTATGGGGTCTAATAGTTCCTTGTTAGCCAAAAACAAAACAAAACAAAATTATAGTCTAATGTAGTTGGGAGAGAGACAGGAAGCTAATTTCTGAAGATAAATCCATGTTGTGGTTTAAGGTAAATGTTAAAATTAGCAGTTCCCTAATAAGGTAAAAAAGATTTATGTCTAATCATTGCTAAAGGTATTCTGTTTTAAATGAAAAAGTTTTAAATAAAAAACCAGGACATTCTCTCAAGCTTTTTGTTAGGTGCACATACCAGATGTTATTTTCAGAAGCTGGAAGCTTGGGCATTCCTTATTTTTGTGGGTAAAAGAGTTTAGCCAGTGGCAAAAGACAGGGAAAAAACATGAATTGCTTTTTTAAAAAAATGGCCTGACCACAACTTTTAATAACTAAGGAAAGCCAAAGACCAAGCATTTGGACTTCAGAGGTTTAGGTTAAATAGCAGGTTAAACTGAAGATATTTTTTAATAACAAAGGCATGAACAATCTCCTTTGATTTATTGTCTGAACATTTGAGGGTGCCTCTTTAAGTTTTCAGTACATACTTGTCTTATTATTCTACTCATGAAAACTTAAGTGTAGATCAAGTAAATGTCTTGCAGTTTGAGTGGATATTGGAAAAAATACATATATATATATGTATATATATATATTTTAAGATTTATTCAGGGGCCGAGATTGTGGCTCAGTGGTAGAGCACTTGCCTTGCATGTGTGAGGCCCTAGGTTTGATCCTCAGCACCACATTAAAAAAAAAAAGTAGAGTTATTAGGTTCATATGCAACTAAAAATTTTTAAAAAGGTCCATTCAATAGGATGAGATGCTGATTATTGGTTGTTTGTCAGTGGTAATAAATTTGTAATGAACTGGTCAACTTGTGATCAAGATAAGAACTCACCTTAATGGAGTGATGGGTTATTTTGTATAATTCTGTCACAATTGATATTTAAAGAAGACTCCAGTTTATCTAGTGGACTCAATTTCCTAGATGGGATCCATCATTTTGTTCATTAGGTCAAATACTTTTACTGCTTTTAAGTAATGTTCCGTGGTGTGTTAGTTATTAAGTGCCTACACTTAATAGGACACTCTGCAAACATATGTTTAACAGATGACCCTCCCCACCTTTGGTACTGGGAATTGAAACCCAGGAACGCTCTACCACTGAGGTACACCCCCAGCCCTTTCTTTGTTTTTTGAGACAGGGTCTTAAATTGCCCAGGCTGTCCTCGAACTTGCAATCCTCCTGTCTCAACCTTCCGAGTTTTTAGGGTTACAGGCGTATCCCCCTGGCCTACTTGGATGAACTTACTTTCTTTTTTTGGGGGGGGGGGAACTAGGGGAGTTACTGGGGATTGAACCCAGGAGTTCTCTATTACCTACCTATAACCCCAGTGCTTTTTATTTTGAGAGAGTGTCTTACTGAATTCCCAAGGCTGGCCGCAGATTTGTGATCTTCCTACCTCATCCTCCTGAATAGCTGGTATTACAGGTGTATGCTACCATGCCAGCTGGGTGAACTTTTTTTTTTTCCACTTAGATCATAGTGCAACAGTTTTTTAAGTTTATGTTGAAAATAAATGGCGAATGAGCTTCCGGCAAGAATGCTTTCACCAGCCCAAGTTCTCAAAGTCTTAGCCAGTGAATTTTGGCTGGTTTGTAAGCAAATGACCATTGGTAATGTTACGATAGTAAATTTGTATTCTTTTGACATTCTATGTTTATGGATAGGCAGGAGGACATTTTAGTTGTAAATGAGGATTAGGCAGTTAAAATCAGTGCACTGGTGACACTTTTCCCACATTAATACTGAAGATTGGTATTTAATTTTTACATTCTCTCTTGAAAAATTTAAACTTTATTGGAATATTTAAAAAGCCTAAGTGAAATGGAGTTGTCTTTCTTGACTTTTAGGTGGTATTCCTTTCCCATTCTGTCCCTCAGAACCTTTAAGTAGCCTCAGCCTATTCCGGTAGTCTCTCAATAACTTATAATTGCTGAGAAACACCTCACATTTAGGATGTGCTCCATTTGTTGAAGAGGCTGCAGTCTAGAGATTGAGCTTAACATTTTTTTTTTTAACATTGAGAGCAAGTACTGTTTTGTTAACTGATCAGATTACAAAAATACCATGGTAGATACCTTAATTCATCCTTGTAATAAGCCTGCTGATCTAATCTGGTCTTCCCTGTTGCCAGCATCTCCACCTTCTACAAAATGGCTGTTGTTTTTTTTTTTCCTTCTCTTCTTGGAGAAGATAATTTGAAGGGCCACAGAAAGTTATTTTACAGGTGTATGCCACTGTGCCAGCTGGGTAAGCTTTTTTTCCCCCATTTAAATCATAGCTGCAACAGTCTTTTTAAGTTTATGTTGAAAATAAATGGCAAGTGAGCTTCCCCCCCAGAATGTTTTCACCAGCCTGAGCTCTCAGTGTCTTAGCCAGTAAATTTTGGCTGGTTTGTAACCAAATGACCATTGGTAATGTTACTACAATAAATTTAAATTGTTTTCCAACAGTGTAGATCTTATGAATCAGATACTCCTTGCAAATGATGCTGTATTTACCAAGAGATTGAGCAGTCAAAGTGTTTTTTTTCGTTTCTTATTGATTTTTGCCATATCCACACTTGTAGATAAGCTCATTCACTGACTTCAGGTTTGGGTACCCCCATGTAACATTTGGTTCCATGATCCTCAGCATGTTTATCAAACCCTTGTTGAGCTTAACGAAGGTGCCAATGAAGATCAACAAAGGTGAAGAAGTTGTAGCACCTTACAAACTTTTGGACTCAAATGATTGATACCTGTGATCCCGATGACAAATGCCAATTTGGATTCTGCAGGTACATGGAAGTTGCCAGCTTTCTTGCCATCCTAGTCATTTGAAATCTCCATTCTGTATATCTGCCTGTATTCCTTGTGGTAATGCTTGGCTTTTCATAAATAAGCTTCCTTCTTGCCTTTTGAAGCATCTTTTGGGCAAACTTCTTTCTCAGGTGCTTTACATTCAGCTCTGTGAAATTTTTTTGCTGCTTCTAAAGGGTTTCTGCTGGCACAGCAGGAGCCTTCTTTTTCTTTTTTTTCAGCACCTCCATGGTTCCAGCCAGAAAAAGAGCACATATTGCTTTTGTGAAGAAGTTTTGATATATTCATTGATCAGAAATTATTTCCTAGGTAGTATACTTACTGTAAAAAGAACATCCTCAGCAGAAGGAAGAATGGAGTTGAGGGGAGAATTAAAAGTCTGATTTCTTTTCCTGTTATTCATTTATCCTCAGAATAATTTCTTTTCATCATTCTTAGTTTTTACACCATTAGCATTAAGCTCTTATATATAACATGCTACTTTTTCCTCTTTGAAATTTATGCAATTTTCTTCTCTACTGGAATGTAAAAGATTAGTTTTGGATTCTTCCAACTAAAAGTAGAAAAACTTATGCTTGTATAGTGTTTGCAGCTCAGTAAGCAAACCAATGTGTAGTTTGTAGCTTAGTAATTTAAATTCCTGTTTTAAAATTTAATTGAGTCCCTTTTCCATCAGGGAATAATGTATATACACTTCCCCTTAACTGCTTTCTCTCTACATATATATGTATGTATGTATGCGTGTGTGTGTGTGTGTGTGTGTGTGTGTGTGTATGCATGTATGTAGTAGTTGGACACGATATATTTTTTTAATTTTATGTGGTGCTGAGGATCGAACCTCGTGCCTTGTATGTGCTAGGCCAGTGCTCTACAGCTGAGCCACAAACCCAGCCCTAGCTGTTTTTTTCAATATGTTTTATATGTTTTTTTTTCTTTTTTGAAGAAAAAAATAATCTTTGGTTAAGCTGCAGTTTTCAACCTATTACATACATGTTTTGCATTCAGCCTAGGCATTGGAATAGATTTAGCTTCTCAGTGTTTGAAGTGGAAAATAATATACAGTGTAATCTACTTTAGTGTTTTATGTTTATTCATAGCCTCAGACAGGAAAAAAACTGAATTCTAGGTGTTGTAATGGAGTTTTCCTAGACAGATGGCTTAGAAGGAAGTACTTTGATAGATTCTCAGTGGGGGCTAGTACTTTTTGGAAGGAATACTTGTGATGAAGCTTACATTGATTGGCAGTTCAGAATGCTGAGAATAGCATTAAGGACAGCAACAACTTGTTTATTTTACCTAGAATTGTTTTGTGCCAAGACCTCTCAAGATGATGTGAAATTTCTGTGTAGTACCCTGTAAATATGGATATTTTTGAGGCTGAAAAGGAAATTCACCTAAAAATTGTTCATTGCAATCATTTCTTAAAAAT